GTACACAACAGCGACGCAGGAGATCAGGGTAAGAGCATGGGAAGGTTGAAGAGGTCAATCCTGACAGTTCTTCGTGGAAATAAGTAAACAAGCGAGTTAGTGCGGAAACAAACCAGGTTAAGCGACACTCAAGCAAGATTGGGACGATTTTCGACAAAATATATACCGGCGCCGCTGCTGAATTTAACCTCCCAAGAATTCCAACCGAGAGGAAACTCAAACCAGCAGTAACGGCAAGTCATCAGCAGCGGCAACAAATTACCGAAGAAACGTTGCTTTTCAATCCGTGGACCCTCTAAGGTCTCGACCCCTTCCCGGTGGCCGGGTTTTCATCCAGGGCCGTTCTTGCGATGGTCCTGGGGCCCTGCGGGAGCCTCCGCCGAAAACAGCCAAAACTGCCCTCTGTGATTTTCCCCAGACGGAGAGGAGATCTGGGAAGCAGCTGCAGCTTCAGCTGGAAAAGTGGCGGCAGCAGCAGCAGCGGCAGCGCTCGGATTCGGCGAGGCGCTCGGCCACCACCGCGGCGAATTCTGAGACGAAGACCCGTAGTCAGCCTCGCGGCCGGCCTCGAGCCCTGGTCGGAGGCGTTTGCGCTAAAAATGGCCGAATTCCTTCGTGCGACCAGGAGGCCGCTGGGCGCCGAGGCGCATGGTGCGCTGGCCGCCACCCTGCCGCTGAGCGGAGACCGCTGAACGGCACAGCGTCCGTGCCGCTCGCCACAACCTCTAAGACGAAGCCCGGATGAGGATAAAATCAAGTGAGGATGTTGAATCGAGAATTTCTGAGTCCCGGCGGTTCTGGAGGATGTCTCGGGCGCCGTGGCCTTCTCAGAGCGTTTCGGAACGCTCTGAGAGCACTCCAGAAAACACTGGAACGGATTTATTCTCGTCCTAGCCCCGTCCGAACATCGCCGCTGCTGGCTGGGGCGCGGGTCTTCCCCTGCGCACTCAGCGGCCAGGGCCTGCCCGCTGCTGGAGCCCGAGGGCCTCCTCCGTGGGGCCACAACGAACAGGAGGCTCCAGCCTTCCTCTCGACACGGCGCTTTTTTTCCCCAAGTAGGCTTGCCTAAGGGGTTCTGACTCGGTTAAATCTTGGCGCCTCCTAGTGTTACTTTGCCCGTTGCTCGGAGAATCCTCGGGGTCCTCGGGTTCCCCCGCCCCTGGTGACTTCTATTGCTACGTTGCCCGTTTCCCGGAGGTTCCTCGGGTTCCCCGAGTTCCTCGGGTTCCCCGGGTTCCCCGGGTTGCCTGGGCTCCTCAGGTTCCCTGGGTCTCCCGGGTTCTTGAATGGCTTCTGGGCTGGCCAGAAGACCGCAAGCCTTTTGACATACTTGCACGTAGATGCCATTTCTTGATATCAGGTACTGCCGACACTTAGCAAATGCCTGGCAAGTAGTTAGAACATACTTAGCAGGTACTTAAGTTCAGCGGGGCTAAGTGGTTGCACGTCTTTAGCAATTGCTTCATTTAGGCTGCCCAGCGCACATTGTGTGACCAAGTCTATAATATGCTGCTCAGCGAAGCATATTCTGCACCGAAAACGCATGTAGGTTGAACGAAAGACAACACCTCATTCAGGTTGAAGCAGGTCTTGATACAACGAACTTTCCCTCGTGTTGCTCGCGCCTTCCTTGCGGGCAATACATCTTGATACCTTGATATGCTAGAACACGAAGAAGCATATCTATATACGATAGAACAAGAAACCCAGTCCACTATGATCAAGATTTTGTGTATTGGGATGCCAGATCGCAGGTCTCCAGCAATTGTCGATGGGGTGTTCTATGGTGATATTTGCGGGGGGTTCTATGGGGATTTGGGAGTCCCTGCGGACTGCGGACTTTCCGACTGGGTGTCTTATGGGTTTCCTTTGATGGTTCCTGATGGTGATCCCTATGGGGTTTCCTATGGGAGTTCCTACGGGGCGTCCTTTGGGGATCCCTATAAGGGATTCCTATAAGGTTTCCTATACAAGGGTTCCTACGTATGGGGTTTGCTATGGGATTCCCTACGGGGCTTCATATGGGGACTCCTGTCGGATTTCCTATAGAGTTTCTTATGTGGGTTCCTATGGGGTTCCTATGGGGTTTCCTATACGGCTTCCCATGGGGGTTTCCTACGGGGATCCCTGTTGGGTTTCCTGTGAGGTTCCCCATTGGGTTTTCCCATGGGGTTTCCAACGGGGCTTCCTATGGAGATTCCGATGGAGGATGAAGAGGAGGAGGGGGAGGAGGTCCATGGGCACGGTTGCTTTGCGCTTGCGTTCTTGCGGGGGGGAGGGGGGGAACAGGGAGAAGGAGGGGGAGGGAGGGGATGAGGAGGAGGGGGGTGAAGGAGAGTCCCCAGAAGGCTCCCAAGAGGCCACACGAGGCTTCCCCCAAGAACCCAACACGCTCGCAGAGACCCCAGTGACCGCCAAGAGGAAGCACCCAAGACGCCCCAGTTGGACTTCAGGAAACTCTTGAGAGACATCCGAAGATACTCCGAGATGCATCCAAAAGGCCTCTGGCATTGCTGCTCGGCCTCCTTCATTCCATTTCCTATCAATATCGCTTCCCTGTCGCTCCCCGAGATGTGCCGAGAGGGCGGGCTGGCCGTTTCGCCTAAGACTTACTCACAACTTATGGTCCTTAAGCTCACAAGTTGCAACAGCGTCACGGATGGAGGGCTGGTGCCTTTCAACAGGTGGTTCTTGCCTTAGCGCTGCGCGCGTTCGTTTTAAAGGGTTGCATGAGCTTCGCGGATGGAGGGCGGGTGGTTTCCAGAATGTTGCTCTCGCCTTGGCGTCGGGCACATTCGTCTCAATGGTGTGCCATGAGCTTCACGGATGGAGGGCGGGCAGTTTTCAGCAAGTGGCTCTCGCCTCAGCGCCGCGCGCATTTTGTACTAAAGGTTTGCAGCAACTTCGCGGATGGAGGGCGGTTCCTTTTCAAAACGTGGCTCTCGCCGTAGCGCCGCCCACATTCGTCTTAAGAGCTAAGAGCAGTCTCAACGAGTCTTCTGATTGACGTGCCGGAGTGGTGTTCTGGCACGGTGTAGGGATGTTAGGGCGCAACAGTTACCCGAATTCGCTGTGTCGGATTCCCAGGAGTGGTGTTCTGGCAAGATTCAGGAACGCCAAGACGCAACAGTAACGCTGATTCGCGGCGTTGAAGTCCCAGGAATGGTGCCCTGGCATTGTTCAGGATTTTCAGACGGTTGTCTTCCAACGTGGCACTTCACACACACAATGAAGAGAACCCTTGTTGGGACCTATGGGGATGGAGCTTGGAGGGAGGTCGGAAGAGAACGAGGAGGGGGAGACCAAGACCTTCTCCTGTATCCTTCTCCTCCTCCTCCTCGTCTCCCCCTCCATCTCCTCGTCGTCTTCCTCCTCCTCCTCTCCTTCTCGATCCTCCCCCCCTCCTCCTCCTTCTCCTCCTCCTCAACCTTTTCCACTTCCTCCTCCTTCTCGATCCTCGATCTCCCCCTCCTCCCTCCTCCTCCTCCCCCTCCTCCTCCTCCTCCTCCTCCTCCTCCTCCTCCTCCTGCTCCAGCTCCTCCTGCTCCAGCTCCTCCTCCTCCTCCTCCTCCTCCTCCTCCTCCTCCTCATGCCCCAGACCCCCTCGAGATGTGAACAAGACTCGCGACCGGAAGATTTTTGTTCGCTATGTTCGGCCTCCGGGTCCGTTACGGACCTCGGGACCGTCAAGGAGCGAGTCGGGATGAAAGACTGGTCCCGGGGAAGGGGTCCGGACCTCTGGGGGTCGACGCTCTGGAATAATCACGACGTCGGGGGTCTGCGGTAATTGCACGGGTAATGGCCCTATGGGCAAGAATTGACTTTGTATGCGAGGCCTGTGATGCGGCAGGAGCAGCGCAGCGGTGCTCCTCTTCCTCCTCCTCCATTCCTTACACATATTTTCTCCCTGTCGCTCCCCGACGCCAATTTTCAGGGCGGGCCGGGCGTTTCGCCGCAGACTTCCTCACCATTGATGACTCTGAAGCTTAAACAATGACAGCAATTTCACAGATTAAGGGCGGGTGGTTTTCAAAACGTGGCTCTCGCCTTAGCGCCGCGCACATTAGTCTCACGGGTTGAGGGCGGGTCGTTTTCAGAACGTGGCTCTCGCCGTAGCACCGCGCCCATTCGTTTAAACAAAATACAAAAGTTTCATGTATTGAGGGCGGGTCGTTTTCAAAATGTGGCTCTCGCCTTAAGCGCCGCGCACATTCGTTCACACAAATTGCAAGAGTTTCACGGATCAAGGGCGGGCCGTTTTCAAAACGTGGCTCTCGCCTCAGCGCCGCGCACATTCGTTAAACAAAGTACAAGAGCTTCACGGATTGAGGGCGGTTCCTTTTCAGAATGTGGCTCTCGCCTTAGCGCCGCGCACATTCGTTCACACATTTTGAACAGAGTTCCGCGGGTTCCCATGCTCAGCGCACCAGAAATGGTGTTTTGGAAAGGTTCAGAGTTACGCGGGCGGCTGGCACGACTCCGGATCGTCAAGACGCGGCACTCAGGCTGACCCGCGGCGTTAAAAGCCCGAGAACAATGTTTTGGCATGCTTCAGGGTCTCCAAGGGTGTCTTCGAACGAAACACTTCCCTCAGTGGAAATGAACCGCTGTCGGGTTTAGGAAGAGTTTCGAGGGAGGGTTAACTCCAACACCGTTGATGACTCTTTGGTTTGCACTGGTCCTCCTCCTCTTCCTCCTCCTCCTCCTCCTCCTCTTCCTCCTCTTTCCCCCCCTCCTCCTCCTCCACCTCCTCCCCCTCCACCTCCTCCTCCTCCTCCTCCTCCTCCTCCTCCACCCTGGCGGCAGCCCGAGGCCACGGGCCCACCAGATGCGTTCCCCCGAACGCCGCGCATCTGGTTACATGCGTGGCTTCCTCGGGCCCCCGACGTCACCGTCTCCCCCAGCGTGTGTAGGGGGCAAACAAACCTACCTCGCTTTTGACCACCCTCGCTTCCAAGAGATACCACGCGATGCCGAACTGCGGCCTGTGCTGGTGAGGC